CATCTTTCATCAGCAAATTCATAAGCACATCTAATCTTCCTCAAATTCACTCTTTCAGCATCTTCTAGAAATGTGATCTGAAACACATGTCCAGTTATGAGGACAGAATGAGGTCCTTAAGTTCACAGTTCATTAGCAATTCACATTCATACTTGTCTCCAATTTTCTCTTTTCTTTTTGTGTTGTCTTTGTGCTACACACCACACTGCCAACATAAACACATGGCACAGATAATTGGTTTTTTCCTCCACCAAATACTCTCTTCTTGGATCTAATCCCCTGAATAACTAAATGCCTCCTCTCAAGTTCTCATAAATATCTGTGATATTTTCTGCCCTTCCATATTATTTTAAGATTGTGTGGGTGTCTGTGAGCACTTAGAAGATAAATATTTGATCTTTTTCACCTCTGCAGATCTAAACTCAGCAGAATACCACATAAAACTAGTTTTGTGGCTATGCATACAATGAATGGCTGAATAAACACCATTGCCAGATATAGGTGACTCATAGGAAAGTCTTGGTGGCCAGTTGATAAGAAAATAGTTCTGCTGCTGTTTTCAGAGATTAGTGACAAAAGACAAGGTAAGGCTCATGTAAGGTGTAGTCACGGAGTATGTGAGACAGGGCAGGATAAAGTGCTTACTAAAGTAGGAAGACAACCCTGAGGAGTATGAGGAAGAGCACACATCATGGGAGGATAAAGATCGGAGAGTCTAAAGGAAGTGGGGATAACTACTGGAGACGGAGGAGCTTCAGTCTAAGCCTTAAACACACTCAACATTAAGAAGTCATGAGAAGGAAATAAAGAAGGATTAGAATGGTCAGCAACACATCAATTCAAACAAGCCCATGGGGGAACTGAAGAAGACAAGTCCAATAAAATTTAGAGTCTAACTCTACTTTATATCATAGCCCTCCTCTGTTTAAAACTCTCTAATGAACCCTCAGCTCACTCAGGGCCTAAATGAAAGCCCTTTTATGACCTGCATATCCCACGAGGCCCTCTGTGGCTAGTTACCAGAATCTTCCTTCATTCTGTTTCCCTTCCACTCTCCCCTAAGCTCTCTGTTCGGGCACACAGGCCTCATGATATTCTAACCATCAGGCATACTCCTACCTTTGGACTCTTATTTGTAGTTTCTAGTCCTTCCTGCCACAATGGTCTTCTCCAGATAGCTCCATGGTTATATCCCTCACTCCTTTGGTCCTGTCCTCAGAGCCCTCCATTTTGTGAGACATCCCCCAGCAGCTCACCCTAAGTTTCAACTCCTTCCCTCTGATATTTATGTTCTCTTCTTCCCTTTGTTTTTTCTCCTATGATTACCTAGACTCCTTTTAAATTTATGTATTAATCCCATTTGGTTTCTACCACTCTCACCAGAATGTATACTGTGTGAGATGTGGAGTTTTATTTTATGTTTTTTGCTTACAAGGTTGTGGCCCCTTGACAAGCATCTGTTGAATGTGGATGAGCAGAGTCAGTACTTGTGATTCTGCAACAGACATTATCACTAAGTATGTAACTTAGAGCAAAGAGCCTTCATATTGTCATCTATCTGAGACACACGTAGCATAAGGAGTGGCTTCACCACCTCTAGGGCTTTTTCTTTTCTAAGAGAGAAGCTGGGAAAAGTTATAGAGAAGGGCTTGTCCTTATTTTGAATTTTAAGGTTATATAATTGTGTATTCACGTTGGTTTTCAATGAGGACATGGTCTCAGCTTTCTGGGAGGTTGAGGCAGGAGAATCACAAGTCCAAGCCCAATCTAGGCAAGTTAGTAAGACCCTGTCTCATATTGAGAAATTTAAATATTTGTAAAATGGGCTTTGTGTGTAGTTCTGTGCAAAGGCTCTAGATTCAATCCATAGTACTACAAACAGAAAAAAAGAGAGAAAAGAAAAGAAAGGGAAGGGAAGAGGAAGGAGGGGAAGGGAAGGGAAGGAAAGGGAAGGAAAGGGAAGGAAAGGAAAGGAAAGGAAAGGAAAGGAAAGGAAAGGAAAGGAAAGGAAAGGAAAGGAAAGGAAAGGAAGTAAAAAGTAAAGAAGACATGAATTCCTAGAACCCAAGGACCATAACTATCTATGCTTTGCTTGTTGTGACTTCCATTGTGGCTAATGAGCAAATACATTATCCCTGTGGCTGACCATAGGAGCTTGGGTTAGTTTGAAGAGTGAGGATACATTGTAGAGAGGCCTCTATGCACCAGTAACAACAGAAATAGATCTTTGTGAGATTGCTCCCCTAGACAGGGTAGTGGGAAGCCTGTGGTGTGACACACAGCTAGACATAGAAATGTTATTCCTCTGTCCACCAAGTCCTTGGGGACCTCAGCTCATACTCTCATTGCCTGTTCCTATGGGTCACTGAGTAGAATTATAAAAAGGCCTGTTACACAAAGGGAAGACAGCCCAGCCACTCTCTCAGGAAGACCGCACCATTCCAGGTGAGTGTACCCTCACCTGAAGCCTGGGAGCCTGTGGCCTCTGCCATCCTAAAGGGCCTTGAAGACCCCACAAACTGCTTCATGACGACAGAGGAAAGCCCTGCATCCTGCCCACACCTTCACTGGCTGGAAAGAAATGTTTCAAAGCCTTAACTGAACTGTCCAGAAAGGCAGGTAAGAATGCATGCAGTAGCCTTACCCAAAGCCAGAGAGAAGCTAAAATATTCTAGCAAGGAGACACTTTAGCCAGAAAGCCAGACAATGTGGGAGGGAGACAACAGCTTTTCTGGAATAGGGACAGCTGGAGACAAAATGATGGCCAAAAGTCTTAGACTTCAGTAAGAAAATGCAGGTTTCAGCAAAGCAGAAGAGTTGCTCTTGGAGACAGAGATTGAGAAAGCACCCAACTCTGTAGCCAACAGAGACCCTCGTATCTGCCAGCGCCACCTATAGTAGTGTGGGAAAAAGGCAACCCACACTGTGCCACACCACTCCATGGCTGCCTTTTCTTCACCCTGGGTCCCATTTCTCAGACATAGTGGTCTAATGACCTCTGGGGGAGGTTACTTAGTTCTTTCCCAACTATTCAGCATGATTTATTTGGATTTCTAAATCCGTCTCCCTACAGAAAAGCTATTTAGGATGGATGGATGGATGGATGGATGGATGGATGGATGGACGGACGGATGGATGGATGGATGGATTCAAGATAAAAGCTATCTTATATCTCAATGAAGAATGCTTTTCATGTTCCTATAGCATCTGGAGGCCATCTTGGCACTTGGTATTTCTCAGGGGAGAAAAGCTGTTCTGTCTCTACACAAGTTCTAAGGATGGAAAAGAGGAACTACAGTTCAGAGGTGTGGATTTTGTAACCTTTGAACCCTGGATCTATTCCTCTTTGCTTATCCAAGATGGGGAGAATACAATTCAAATCTCTTAGTACTAATTTTATCATGTTAAGATTGGTGGTCTCGAAACTCTCTCCATTCGGGCCAATTGAAGGGTATCTCCCAGCTACAATAAGGATCCAAGTTAGAAATGAAGTAAAATCCTGGGAGGGATAAACAAGTTAATCTGAAGACCATCAATGCAGATACTGCAGAGTTTTTTGTTTTTTTTTTTCCAAAAGCCAGCACTTTTGCTTTTTGCAGAAAAGCCTATGGCTCCTTAGAAACAATTAGCTCTAAAGACAAGCAAAGTTAAGGAATCCAGCAGAGAGAGATTTTAATGAGATCAGAGTCAAAGAGTTTGGGTAGGGTAGAGGTTTGGGCCAAAACACTTTAGTTTACCAAAAAATAAATGTCTCCCTTGATATGAATGATTTATGAGTACAGGTTGTAAGACAAACAATGCTCTAGAATATCTTTGTAAAATCAGTAGCAATCTTCCAAAGTCAGGACTCAACCCAAACTCTCCTTGTAGTCAGTGGAAATGGCCTTGGAGACAACTTTCAGACAACTTGTCCACCTCCACCCAATTTTCAGATGGGAAGTCACCACCAGCAAGGAGCAGAAAGAAAAACCTTTGCAGGGGAGAACCCAGGTAGCTAGGATCTGCAGGAGGCTGTAACACTGCCAGTACCTTTATCTCTGAGGAAATTATTAGTGGGAACTACTGCCTCTGATTTTATGAACCCAGATATTATTTTTTCCCTTTTTTCCTTAAGTAATTTCCTTTGGGTCTTTTTCTCTTAGTTTTTGTTTTATTTTTAGGACGTTTTTTAAAAGTTATTATTGTTGTTGTGGTTCTTTTCCTCCCTGCTAACCTTAGAAATGAGGATCTAGAATCCTGAGAAGTTGCAAAGTATTTCCTCTCCTCACCACCTTGGAACACCCTTTATTCCTTTCTCTGTCTAATTTCTACTCAAACTTCAAGACTGAACAAAAGTACCATCTTTTCCAGGAAGGTTTCTCTGATCATACCTCTCTCCCTCCCAGGTATTAAACAGATAACTTGTGCTAATGCTTATCACATACTCTATATCTTAGTTACTTATCTATCACTCCAAAGAAGCCATGTAAATGGCAAGGAGAATGATTCTCATCTCTGTATCCATAGCAACTAGCATCTGCCCTTGTGCAAACATGTCATAAGAATGAATAAATATAAAAAAGAAAGGAGGGAAGAAGGGAGTATGCAAGTGAAGGGGAGAGGAAAAAGAAAGGAAAGATGGTAGGAAGGGAGAGAGAACAGCTTTACCTGAAAAAAATTCCCAAAAAAGTACTTTTCTAAATAGTTAAAAAAAAAGAGTACCTAGAATCCAGATAACTGAGATATGGGTCAGAAGGAAAAGTCTAAGGGAATTTAGGAAGGCCACATTTTGAAATAAGCATTTCTCTTCCCAGCGTGCCTTTTAAAATTTAGATGGTCTTTGAAAGTAGTGACTAGTGAGTTAGTTTGAGTTGTCACATCTGTCCTCTGGAAAAGAGGGCCTTAGAGCTTAAAAGAAAGCTTAAGTGGGATGGGAGGTAGGAAGGGAAGAGCTAAAATACACTAGATCCCTGGATGTCCAAGGCACTCTCTGACTGTGCTCCATGTCCTAGCAGGCTGCCAGTGTGACCTCACCCTCTTCAGTCCCGCTCTTCAGCACCGGCTATGAGTTCCTGCAACTTCACACATGCCACCTTTGTGCTTATTGGCGTCCCAGGCCTAGAGGAAGCCCACTTCTGGTTCGGCTTCCCCCTGTTGTCAATGTATGCTGTGGCGCTGTTTGGAAACTGCATTGTAGTCTTCATCGTCAGGACGGAGCGCAGCCTGCATGCACCCATGTACCTCTTTCTCTGCATGCTGGCAGCCATTGACCTGGCCTTGTCCACCTCCACCATGCCCAAGATCCTTGCCCTCTTCTGGTTTGACTCCCGGGAGATCTCTTTTGATGCCTGCCTTACCCAGATGTTCTTTATTCATGCTCTTTCAGCCATTGAATCCACCATCCTGCTGGCCATGGCCTTTGACCGTTATGTGGCCATCTGCCACCCACTACGCCATGCCGCAGTCCTCAACAACACAGTCACAGCCCAGATTGGCATTGTAGCTGTGGTCCGCGGCTCCCTGTTCTTTTTTCCACTTCCGCTGCTCATCAAGCGATTAGCCTTCTGCCACTCCAATGTGCTCTCACACTCCTACTGTGTGCACCAGGATGTGATGAAGTTGGCCTACACTGACACCTTGCCCAATGTGGTCTATGGTCTTACTGCCATTCTGCTGGTCATGGGTGTGGATGTCATGTTCATCTCCTTGTCCTATTTCCTGATTATACGAACAGTTCTGCAACTGCCTTCCAAGTCAGAGCGAGCCAAGGCCTTTGGGACCTGCGTGTCACACATTGGTGTGGTCCTGGCCTTCTATGTGCCACTCATTGGCCTCTCAGTGGTGCACCGCTTTGGAAACAGCCTTGATCCCATCGTGCATGTCCTCATGGGAGATGTCTACCTGCTGCTGCCTCCCGTCATCAATCCCATCATCTATGGTGCCAGGACCAAACAGATCAGAATACGGGTGCTGGCGATGTTCAGGATCAGCTGTGACAAAGACATCCAAACTGTGTGACACGGGTGACCCTGACTGTTCCACTTCCCCATCCTTATTGGCTTGATACAATCATGCCATAAGAGGAGCTTAATTCCCATTGTCTGTAAGCACAGCAGTGCTTTTCTCCAGCTGAAACAGTAAACTAAATTATGGTTCATTCACTTCATGGAATATTATGTGGAACAATCCATATTCATATTATTTGGTTAAAGACTCTGATTTAAAGTGAAACAGCTTTGTAACACTGAGTAAAAACAATTGTGATTTACAACTGAAACTAACTTGAAAAACAGCCTATGCCTCGGAAGAAGTGTGTTCAAATTGCTGGTGATGTTAGTTTTGTTCCTATTTCTAAATGCTTTGTGATGAATGTATTATTTAACTGACAAGTACAGGTTTTTAAATGAGGAAAATAAAATTGCTAGTTTAGGAAAATCACAGTCCTCCCTGTGGTGTTTTTACACATTACCTGGATTCTCCAAACCCTTAATAATAGTGCTTGTAGATATATCTTGTGTGCTTAAAATGTTCCAGGCAATGTGATGACTGCTTTACAGCTTTTTAGTGATCTTTAAGATTTTATAGGATAGATACCATTTTTATCCCCTCATTACAAGTGACAGAAATGAAACTTACATTAGCAAGGTAATTAAGACACACAACTCATGTGTGCTATGCCAAGACTTGAAATTAAATTTGATAATTGAATACAGTCATTTAACTACCCTGTCATGTTGCTTCCTCTTTAACACCTGCCATTTATTTCCTCCACCTGCACAAGCCCTCTGCTTTCTTCCTGCTGTGTGCTAAAATAATGTCTCTGTGTTTGTCCTGGGAGATAACCCAGGGGGCAACAAGTTCAGTTTAGTTCACTCTTCATGTTTTACAGCATCTTTCATGATGTTAGCACATGCTTCTTCCCAGATTAAGGGAGAATACTTTTGCTCCTTTGTCTCATATCTCCTTTATAATGTCTTCCTTTTTTTCAGTCCATGTCCTGTATTTGTAAAATATTTTGAATGTACAGCATATATTAGTAGGTGTCTGATAAAATAATTTTTTTAAAAATGTTAAGTGTTGTACCTACTGTGTTTATGTTTATAGAATCCCATAAACTAATATTTGGAGATGTGAGAAATTGTTCAGTCCTTTTTTCTCATTAGTTCAGGGACCCTAAAAAGAATCCTTTACATATCTGTAAAGATGTTGAATGCCTCGTGTTCCAAATTCTATTGAATAGCCCACCAGCTCCGATGAGAAGCAGAAACCTCAGCACAATAGTTGCCACTGCGTGGGCTTGGATGGGTACAGAATTTCACTTTGGGATGATGAAAATATTCTGAAAATGGATAGTGATGATTGTGTAAAACAGCATAAATGTACTTGTTGCCACTGAACTGTACACTTCATGTTTAAAATAGTAAGGTTTATGTAATATAAATAATAAAAAATTATCAAAATATAATGTAAAATGTTTTGTTACAAATGCTATATAAAAACATTAAAATTATTTAATTTTGGATACATTGGGCTAAACAAAATATATTACTGTGTTTATTTTTTTAAAGTAGCCTAAAAAGGATAATATTTAGTCCAAAGTAGCAAAGCTTTAATAATGAGTCTACTAAGGTGGTAACAGGCCCACAGTATTCAGTGGAAATATTTACAGTCTTCAAATACCATCATGAAAGACACCATTTGTATTCACATATGGTCACAAGGATGAGCCAAGGGAAGCAGTAAGGGTCCTGTCACTGTGTCCTGGAACTTCAGTAAGTCACACACTTTTCTATAACCTCATAATATATTCTATTTCTGAAGCAAAAATACAGATTTGTTTAAATTCCAAGTATACTTTGCAGATCCTTCTATGACTATCAGATAATAATTTAGCAAGATCTTTCCAAGTGGAATAATACAGTGATGCTCATATATATGAGACATAACCACCTGATCTTGTGATAGTTAATATTATCTATTGGCTTCACTGAGCCATAGTATGTGGATATTTAGTGAAACACTTTTAGATGTTTCCACTAAGGTGTTTTTGGATGTCATTAACATTTAAATCAATGGACTTTGAATAAACCACATTGCCCTCCATAATATGAGCCTCATCCATCAGTTTAGGGAACTAATAAAGTATTCACTTTGCTAAGAGAGAATTCTGCACCAGTCACAGCTTTAGAAATTAAACTGCAATGATAACCCTTCCTTGACTGTTTCCTTTGCCAGCCTACCCTGTAGATTTTGGATTCACTAGCCTTTATAATCATGGAACCTGCCAGGCGTGGTGGGACATGCCTGTAATCCCAGCACTAGGGAGGCTGAGGCAGGAATATCATTGGGAGTTCGAGACCAGCCTGGGCTACAAAGTGAGCTCACTGCCAGCCTGAACTACATAGTGAGACCCTGTCTCAAAAAGACAAAAAAATATCATGGAACCAATTTTTAAAGTTAAGATTATTGGTACTATATATACATATGATGATCACATTCGTCATAGGGAATTTGTACCTGTACACGATATATCTTGATCCTTCTTTTTTTCCAGTTCTTCTCCCCTCCTTCCAAGCCCTTTCCCTCCTTGTTTAAAAGCTTTGTTTCCATTTTTTCCTTCTTTTCTCATTGTTCTTCCTTTTCCCTTCCTCCCTCTCTCTCCTCCCTCCTCAGTTCCCTTTCCCATTTAAATATTTTCTTCATATTTCACAATATCTATTATACATTTTGGTCTTTATTCACACTTTTGGTTTCTCACACCAGAGAAACAATGTACTATTTACATGTGTGTCCAATTTATTTCACCTAAGAGCGTGGTCTCAAGGTGCATCCATTTAGATAGAAATATCTCAAGTTTATCCTTCTTTAAGGCTCAGGAGTAGTCCATTGTATAAAAAAAAGCACACATCTTTCACTGGTTGGTGGGCATTTGGGCTGTTTCCAAGATTTAGCTTTTACAAACTGTGCTGCTACAAACATGGATGTGCATGTATCACTGTGATATAATGCTTTTAATTCTTTCAGGAAGATACCAAGAAGGGAAAAATATCTGGGTCAAATGGAACCTCTAGTTTTAGTTATTTGAGGAATCTTCACACTGATTTCCATAATAGTTCCACCAGCCTGAATTTCCACCAATGGTGCAAAAGGAGATCATAGGACCAATTCTTAATGTAAGTCTCTCTTTCTCTCCCTGTTATTTCTGTCTATTTATCTATCTACCCATATATCCTATTAGAGGCCTGAAAGTTGAAAAAAAAAGCGGGGGGGAATTATCCCTTTGAGCACCTAAACTATGAGGGAAAACTGAAAATTGAAGGAAAAATCATAAAAGTTGTAAAATGAAAAACATAAAATAGATTGACCACCCAGCTTAATTTCTGATAGGCATACAAATTATCTAAACTCAAAATTTTGTAAAACATGTTTGTTCAGATCATGTGCTTCAAGGGCAAAAACAGACTAATTGCTAACTCTCATAAGTTCTAAAGACAAGACTCCGAGGAATTCCCTCAGAAGCCTTTCTCTGGATGACCCTAGGACCCATTCTACAAATACACTTCCTTTTGAAACACTTCAATGGTTCTTTTGATATGTTCTCCTTAGCTGCAGCAAGTTAATAAAACTAGCTTTGTCTGAATACAGGTATGTCCCTAGCAGGCTTTTGCTGGTGATCTTTAGCAAAATGATACACATGAGAACCACATAAGCATGAAGTAGCAGCTTGCATAAGAAATGTTCATTGTTTTTATTTGAGTGTGCCGAAGCAGAATCTGAGACAAGGACTCGGGTGAAGTACCGTAAATAAAACGTGCTTCTTGAAGACAGAACTGAAGGAACAGGAAAAGTGACACCAGAAGAAAGAAAAGTCAATTAAAAGCTATTGCCAAGGTCACTGCCTGAGTCCGCCAGGAGTTCTGTACACAGCACCTTGGTGAATCATCTATCCAAAAGAAGAACTAGAACATTTGTGCATCAATGCATTTTTATTCAACGGAGGGTTGCCAGTGGGGTTTTAAATACTCTGTATTTTCGGTTTGTGCTTTGAAGAGAGACTTAAAGCAGAAAAACTAAAAGAAGGAGCACCTACTTGAGGTGGAAAACAAAATGAATGAAAGCAACTGTCAGAACTACCCTTGAAGTTAGAGGTGAGCCCAGGTGTGACTTGAGACACAGAGGGCATTTGCTGTATGTGGGTTAAGGGAAAGGTGTAGAAATTTAAGGAATGTAGAATTTGATGTGTCTCATATCTACAACTACCATTTATTAAAGTCCCACTATTCATCTTTTACTATAATAATACCTTACTTATATAATCCTATAAATAAACATTTGACATGACAATTCTGCAAGCTAGGAGACAGAGGCACAAAGAGGTTGCATAATTTTCGCAAAGTCATTCTGTCATAAAAGGCAGAGTCCAGACTTGAAACCAGGTCTCCCTGATATTTGAGTGTCTTCTTTCACACCTCATTCTATTACCCTTGGTAAGAATCATAGCCTAACCAGCAGGCTTTTGTTGGCCCAGCTAAGTGATTTAAAAATCTTGAGAAATGATTTCTTAGGCCAAAGTGCTTCTAGACAAATCATGTCCCCATATTTTCTATCTGAAACTTGGGCACAAGGCACCATCTGCCCTTCAGACCTCAAAGAGGGTTTAGACACAAACACAGGATCATTGGATTCCAAACTTTCCATGTCTCATCTGACAGGAAAAAAGAAAAACACTGAGTAAAACCAACCATCTCTTCTCTCACAGGTTCCACTCTGTGAAGTTGTATGAGCTGCTCCTTATTTTTTAAACCATTTTCTTAAGATCTGATTGATATATAAAAAACTGTAGGTATTTAATGTATACAACTTGATGAACTTGCATATAACTATACACTCCTGAAACTGTCACTACAATCAATACAATAAACCCATCCATCACCTCCAACAGCTTCCTCCTGACCGTTTTTGCTAGTTTGGGTCCAGGGTATTCTACAATGAAGTGTTATGCTTCCAAAAGAAAGATAAACTTGATCCATTCATAGTTAAGTGGGTGCAACTCGAGAACATAGGTTAAGTGAAATAAGTCAGACACACAAATATCACATGGTTCCTCTTATATGAAAAACACTAGATATACAAATATAGAGCAAAATAGAGGAGAGATAAATACGTAGGGAGAAATTCAAATACTTCCCCAAATTACATGTTCCATTTTTGAGTATTTCAATGTATATGCTAATTTGCTTCATTTATACTAATAGTTTATCCTAGTTCATTGAAAAGAAGGTTCGTATAATTATCTATGTTTTCTTTTTTGTAAGAATCTTTTTGGTTATTTCTTGTACTGAGTAATTAAGGTATTTTCAAGATGATGATACACAGTGTAATAACATTGATGTTCTCTTATTTGGTCATGAAATTTTGTTTTACTTTTTCATAAATAAAAAGAAAAAAAATCTATCCTCTTGTCAAAATTGTAAATAAACATATAGT